GCTAAGATTAACTCAGAGTTTCGGGGAGCCAAGAGATGATTCATCCTTTGAAATAAAGAGAAGCTGCTAATAAACATTAGTAGATATTTTCAGTTTTGTTTGCAGCATACCAGCACTCGCTGTATGAGGATGCAACATGAGGAACTGACAATGTCAGACTAGCAGCAGTTTTATAATCAGTGACTTATGCATGTTTATTTGTCAGTGCTGTAGATATTGGCATTCTCTAGTGTCAAAATACAGCAACAAACTTTACTGCCACAGCTAGGTTTTGCTACGGCTGCAGCTTTTTTTCACAGTCCTTAGTGCGTTTCTTTACACTTGAGGTTTGATGGGTGTTTCCTCGAATTTCTGTGAATGCTAGGTTCATATCAACAAAAGTTCTGCTAATTTATAGTATTTAAAGTGGCAAATGACTCAGATAAGAGGAAAGTCACTTTGATGTAGATTGGACAGCAGAATACATTTGTTCTCCACGGAGTGGATGTGCTTGCTCCTCTTGCTTACAGTAGTCTTTGCATCTCAGCCAAATCATTTTAATTGGGACCTCATGCTATTCTCCCTGCTGTGACAGTCACTCTGAACCCTCTACTGCCTTGAAGCGATCTTCACAATTCAGTGCTGACCTATACTCGACTGTTGGCCACATGCTCCCAGCTCATGGGGAGCTCGCTTGCTTCAGGAGAAAAGCAGTGTGATGCTTATTTTGCTCAGCTGTCAGGCAATGCCTTTGACCTCCTTGCTGGTGCGGCCACTTGCAAGAGAGCTTTTATGTTTTCTTGTCACTGCAGGTGTTTGGGAAAGGCACAGGTCAGAGTCAGGCTTGAGAATATTGTGATAAACTCTGATTGGCATCCAGTGTGATATAGAGTTTTCTGCCCTCAGGGATTTTGTTCCTACCTGCATATTGCTCAGAGTGGGAGCTAACCTGATGTGTCACAAACTGTCATCTTTTTCTGTTGTATTTAGGAACATACAACTACTGCTTTTTGTTGCTCATGCAGTGCCTCAGGCCRTGGTGACCGCTGCTCTTCATCCAGCCAAAATAGTTTCATTGTGTGAACTAATAACTTATGTTTCTTTTAGAAACATGAATAGGAGAGAAAACACCATTCACACTTTTTACTGGCCATGCTTGTTCATGTCCTTGATTTTCTGAAAATTATTTGCTAATTTGTTTTCAGTTTTAGGTATTTAATTTGGCTGATACATACTGCACAAAAAAAAAAAAAAAAAAAAAAAAAAAAAAAAAAAGACATGACAGGCACTTTTCTTAACAAACATACACTGGCGTCTGGGTGTCTGTAAAATTAATCTTTTCAATAAATACTCTTAAACTACGTTTTTTTTTTTTTTTTTTCTTAAAATTGAGAGGGAAAAAGCCCTGTAATTTTCATTGCATTTCACCTTCTGTGTTATTGGTTTCTCCCTGACCTTGTACCTGCTTTTGAGGCTACCATTCACGTGCAAAAACATCCAAGATTTTTTTCAGCTCTCCTATTTGTCTTTTTTAAAGAGAATTCTCCTGTACTGAGATGAAAACACTCAGAAATAATTTTGCAATTTTTCATATTTTTCAGTGCTCAAATATCTCAAATTTAACATGTCTACTGTTAAATGTTCATTAAATCCCTTTTCTCAAAAAAAATTGACTTGAAATCTTGAGATAGCTGTTTGRGTTATGTCTATATATGCTTGCTTTCATAGGAAAATTAATTAAAAAATTACTATAAAGTACACACCTGACTTTAGAATTTGATAAGTGAAAAATGTTGAATAGGTAGTGATTTCTGAGAAACTGCCTCTACCCCTTCTCTTAGATTTTTTTCTCTTTTTTTCTTTTGTAAACGGTTTGAGCTGACTCTGTTGCATATTTGGCCTACATGTTATTAAAAATTTTAATTTGTTTTGATTATTTTTTGTTGGTGTTTGCGAACATATTAATTTTGGCTGGGATAGAGTTCATGTTCTTTACACCAGCTTACATGGTGCTATGTTTAGTATTTGTGAYCAAAACAGTGTTGATAACGCAGGACCGTTGTTATTATTGCTGAGCAGTGCTCACAGAGTCAAGGTCTTTTCTATTCCTGTCCTAATGAGCTTGAGACTATGATGCTGCATGTGAAGAGTTTATTGATCTGTCCTTCTTACCTATTTAAAAGAGAGTACTCCTTGGCTTTAATGAATAATCTGTTTGCATGGAAAATATTCAGATTACAGCATATGAGTAGCTAACACATAAAATAGCCCAGTGTAATTATTTGTAAAACAGCTGGAATTAAGCACATATAAATATTATTTTGTTCAAAAGAAATGTAAAGCATTAGTTTTATGATCAGTGAAGTGATTATTACCTTTCTGTTGTGCATTTGTGTTGCAGGTTTTATGAAGCCAATAGTTTTGTCCTGTCTAGCAACTCTTCAGAAAAGAGAGTTGTATCATTGTAATAATGTGTATTATTAGTGAATTTCTGTCCACCACAGGCACCAGGAATCCTTCTACCTTGGAATCTGAATTACTTTGTACAAATACTTTATTTTTATTTCTCGCACTATCTACTTATTACATGTTACTTCAGTGGCATTCAAGCAGATTAACTTTCTTTCCCTTTCAGATTTGAGTACACACATATAATACTTGTCCCTTTCCCAGGYAGAATTGGCAGGTGTTTTATACATCAGATACTTCTCAAAACTGTGTTACTCAAGAAAACTATGCAGTTTTCCGAGTCTGAGGCATCTTTCTCCATACATTCTTACAAAAGTTGTGTCAACTTTACTTAATTAGCATTGATGTGATATCAACTGATGATTGTACGGGCTGTTCAGAGACCTTTGTGTCGCAACGTGGTGTTTCTTTTCATTGTGGGATGACTCTGCACTGCTGGCTTCCATCATAACAAATTAAAGTTTAACCCACTCATGTTCTGGAAATAACGGGGTTTGCCAGGTGCCATTACACTTCTGTGCAGGTGTAGAAACCTTCCTTTGTGGAAAGGCTGCAGCTTGAACAGTTTAACGGGGAAAACTAACCATTTTAGGATTTCTGGATAAACAGTTCTCAGACAATAGTTAATGAAATGTATATACACACAAAGTTCACACTGTTGAACATGGAGTGAGAAATAAAGGAAAGAAGAATGGATGAGAGAAATGAGAATCCAGTTTTCTTCATGCTGAATTTGTATCAGAATTTTAGTATGGTAGAGAAAGGATCTGAAAATTGCAAGGTGATTTGCTATTGAGCTCTCAGGCAGCTGGAGTCTATTGTGTTATTCTGCTGCTCCAAACAGTAAATTAATACCTTCCAATTAAATATACATTTCAGAGTAGGAACATTTCTGTGGCCTTGCAAAAGTCAGCCAGACTTGAGGTGTTTCATAGTAAGGCTTTCCTTTGTGGGGCTTCTGAATAAAAATTCCAAAACACTCATGGAGAAAATCATACAGATATACAACATCCTGAAAGACTGAACAGTGCTGCTAAAATCCTTTTTATATGGTCTATTTTTATTCAGCTAGTTCAGCGTAAAATGATACTGCTATGTGAAAAGGATGTGAACATTATACTCCTCCTCTTTCTGTTGCATAATAACTCTTCACATTGCTCTTAGTTTTGAAATTTAAAGTACATTGGTCAGTTACTAATTATTTACTCAACAGAATAGTTGGCAGTGTAAGTTATTTTGAAAGTTTGCATCGCTGTGCTGGTTCCCAGTGTATCTCATACTAACTGTAAGAGGTTTCCCTTCCCTTTTAGAGTGCTTGGTGGCCTCTGTTTGGTATCTCTATTTTGTGGACACCCAGCTGTGACATGACCTCCATCTCTGTCTTGATACTATTAGTTCAGATAAAAGCAATAAGGAATCATTTAGTATTATTCATTGAGCTGAAATCCAGTACAACAGGATGAAATCTGTAAAACAAAATTCAGATTTGAAGATATGAAAGCTTCTTCTGAGTGAAATCTATTAAGGAAGGGACATGTGATAGAATTGTGGAAATCCCAGCATTGTAGATTTTTGTAGAACAAGCAGTCTTGTCTGGAAAGAGCTGTCTGTATTGAGATATGCTGGGTCATCTAACCCAGCAGGGTCTGTCTAGGATTTTTTTGAAATGGTGTAGAAGGACCAGATACAAAAGATAAGGTGAAAAGTTAACTTTGAAATCCTATATTATTGTTCTAATCATCTGATAATATCCAGCAATAAGAGGGATACAAGCTGTTATTAAGGTGAACTGCTAAATTAAAACTCTCACCAAAGTTTCACCTAAATCCTTCTACAAGATTGCTTATTTCTCACTCAAAGCAGTAACACTTTTTCATCGTAACTTTTCCTAACCTTTGTTGAAAACTCTGACTTTTTCCACCAGAAATAGTATTCATGTAACCTCAGATATCGGTGAATAACATTTTTGAAGTTTTTGATRGAGAAAGTTACATGAGTAACTGAGGGTGATATTATTGTAAAGTTCATTTAAATTTATTTCATGCTTAATTTTCTTTGCAGTTTTCCCAGTGAAAATATTCAACATTCACATTGAAAAAGCTTATTTTTCAGTTTTCTTTTTCAAATTACATTTGAGATTACTTTGAAGAAGGTGTGACTTCTTACAGGTAAACAGAGTAGTAGAGCTGAGGAAAAAAAGTTAACTTGCTCTTTTAGTTGGTTTCACATTGTGTCTTAAGAATTGGATGTATTTTAGGAAGGTCTCAATGCTTTTCCAAATTGTGTTGTCTGATGCTGTGAAGCAGCACCAGGTTCACAGAAGTCCTGCAGAYAGTCACAAATAAAGTAGAGATTGTGAAGGTTTGATATTGCTAGTACATTTCCATAGAAAGTTGTGTAATAGTATTTGAATAAATCCTGAATTTTTATGATGGCCAAATACATTGCATGATTTGAACATTACTGATATGTTTTGAGGGTGGCTATAGAGTAAAAACCTGGTACACTTTGTTTCTGTATGCTGCCACTGGCAATCCTGCACTAGAAGTGTGTGTTTTGGCTGGGAAAAAGAACTGTCTTCTGTCATTAGGCAATAGAATTGAGTAAGAGATGGCATCTTGTGCTGTGATGGGGAAATGAGATTTTCTTTTGGAGATACACTGGGCGGTCAAGAATTTTCATGTGACATCAAAGCCAAAGGACTAAAGAACAGGCTGCTGCTTTGTAGAGGTAACAATATTATTTGGTTATTTTTTTACTGTTGTTTTGATGTTTGTTATCTTCTAGACATGAACCAATTTCAGAGGGTGGGAACAGCTGTCCACGTTGATAGGGCTATCTCATTACTGCTGCCTGCTTTCTTCTGACAGTGATAGTGACTGCTATCAGAAACAGGATATGGAAGTTTGACAATTCCTGTGTACTCTCATGCATCCACTGTTTATGTAAATCAGAACAAAATACTTTCACTCTGCATTGCTTGTAGGTTTAATGGAGGAGACATCCAAAAAGACTAAATGAAAAGCCTGGGTGCCAAAAAAGTGCTTCATTAAACATGSAGAAGAAGCTGCATGTGTTTCAGACTTCTGATTTTTTTAACTCTTTTTTTTTTCTTTCCTCACCCTGTAGGATGACAAAATGAGAAAGAGTTTCCTGTCCCACTTTCAGGGATTTCATAACAACTTTAATTCCTGTTTTTCTGTTTTAAAAAATSCAAACACTGTAAAATAGCTGCTGAATATTCCCACTTATGTATTCTGCCTGACTGTAGTCAGTTTTAGTGCTCAGGATCGGCTTTGTTTGCAGTGACTGAAATTGATAGATTTTCCAAGTTTATTTGATTTGTTTCTAATGCATTGCTTTTTTTTTTTTTTAATTTTTTTTACGTGGAAGTGTTTTAGGAAAAAGAACAAGTTGAGAGTGACTACTAAACAGAGTGTTCCCAAAAAGCCCAGCAAACAAAAGGAAGCCAAGATTGCGACAGATAAGGAATGTCATTACGAACATAGCTTGGGGCGATTCTAACTTGTGGCCATAAATGCAGGAAGTAATTTTCCTCCTGGATCCTTTTTAAATATAGGAACAAAATAAAAATCTGATGATTGCAAGGATGGTGCGTGGGAGATAGTGAAAAATCATATAAATATCTGGGCAATAGGATGAAGGTGCATGTATATGAATTCATAACTCCTAACTGTTAAATTTTTTAGGATCATACCACTAAGGCACCAGCATCTCTGAAGAACTTACATAACTTCATAACAGAGCTTCCTTTCTTAACAGTCAAATAATGTGGTAGGATGTCCCTGTTCTTATGCTCTGAGCAGTATTTTCACAGAATTACTTAGAAAAACTCTGCAGTTCTGTTTTCATTATGTCAGCTCCAAGAAATACATGCAGAAGCTTTAGGCATTTTAATAATTGACTGGATAACTGTCAGGATTGATTAAAAATCCCAGACAAACACCATTATATGAAATAAATTAACTTTTATGAAATAATAGATAAAAAAAATTCATTTCTTCTTTAGTACAGATCAATTAGTGTTTATCTCTATGCAGGCATTTTATGTTTATTTCTATAAGTGTTTTTTTCAATGATTAATAGGCAATTACAAGTTTTTATTCACAGCAAAACAAACAGTACTCTCACTGCTTTCTTACGATATTTTGTTAATATTTATATTTGTATGTTATACGCATGCTCTTTAATCTTTTTATAAATATGTTCTTTAGAAGGACTTTTTTGGTGCTAAAATTTAGTTGTGAATCTTGCTATTGTGTTCTTGACTGAACTATATTTTTCAGTTATATTTCACAGTTAATTCTTGCAAATTAAAATTGGCATCATGTTCAGAAAAAAATATAGTCTATTGCTTATCTGGCCACCTCATTTTCCAGTTGCATCTTTCCTGCAGTTCACTGATTTTCCCAGATTTTTTTTTTAAATTATATTTTATTTGTAAACATTTTTTTCCTTTATTATTTATTCTGCATTTTAAATTACTTATTCCCCAAATCTTTGTTTATGCTAAACCCTGGTGGCAAACCAATTGTCTTCATTTTATATTCAGACAAGAATCTTCCAGAACAAACAGAAGTGAAGTTCTGGTGGCATAAACAAAGTTTGCACATTATGGGAACTCTTCCTTTAAAATTAGTCTGCAAATTCAAGTTCTTAGAATATGAAATCATGAAACTTAAGAGTGAAATAATCTTAGGTGTGGTAGTTGGGAAAGAACTTGATGTTGGCGCTAATCTTGCAGGTTGTTTAATTTCTCAGTGTTTCCCAAAGAAATTGTTTTTCTGCTTTCCTCCACTAATTAAATGCTTTTCAGGTGCAAAGAGCAGCACTGCTTGGTATGAAAAGGACATTAAAGTGGTTAAAGGCTACCCAGAAGTTTGTTAAAATGCTCCATAGCCACCAAGTGCCCATATGAATTTTGCCACACAAAATACTATCTCCTTTAAAGAATTGTGAAATCTCATAGACCTCTTGAAGGTAGGACTTTAATGATTATGTCTTCCTGTTTCAGTTGCTCCACTGTAAATTGTAGTCATTCATTTCTGCCCAATCAAGCATAGAAAATAAACAGTGTTCTTCATTCATGTGAGAACAGGARCTGTGATAAACATGATATAGCACCGCAGAATGTGATTACAAGACTGGGCTTTCTACAATCTATTTAATTTTGCTTAAATTTCTCTTTTTCTGTATCCCCAGCAAGATTATGGATATCACAGAGAAAAATGATGAAGTAATTCACATTCCAGAAATCATGCAATGGCCTCTGGAGTAAAGCGTGCAAACAAATTAAGTAATGCATATTTCATTTCATTTCATTGGCAGTTGGAAATTGTATTGATCGGGACAGAAAGAAAAGCTGTCAGTTGACAATTTTTATCTCAAGTAAAGCAAAATGTTTAAGTTGAAATAAATGAATTAAATGTTAAGATGAATTAAAAAATTAAACTTAGTTAATATGGGCCATTCACTTAAGACTTTGACTCGATCGTCCTTCTGGGTCCCTTGCAACTCAGATGATTCTGTAATCTGGTACATATTAGAAGGATGGAAAGTTGGTTTCAGTGGCTCTAAGCTGCTTTTCCCAGAAGAGGCTCACCTACATAACCCATATCGAGCAAAAATTCTGTTTCTGAAAAAAAGGTTCTTGGTAAGTGTTTTCCTGTTAAGAGAAAGATTTTTGTTTATTTTTGTGGTATTGGTCATGTAAAGATTTAGAGACTATGTCAAAACATGAACTGAGTAAGAAACCAAACCAGAAAACATTGTGTAATGTTTCAATTGCAACTTCTGGTGTTATTTGGGATTTCAGTTTTTCTCACCATGACCTCCGTTTTTCACRCTGTTTTTTAGTTAGATTTTTAAGTCTCTTGCCAATCCCAGACAGAGGCTGCTAGGAATTAACTTCTACAAGTTTCTCTTCTTCAGTAAGCACATTTTTGGAATGCRGTTTAAGATCACTTGGTTTGAGAGACCCAAGGACAGAGTAAAAGCCTCCAACAAGCCCCTGGATGAAAGAGGCACCTGAGTGTAGTGTAGCAAAAAATAGGGGAAGAAAATACCTGCTCCCATAAACATAAAGCATTTTTCATGTTCTATTTGTGTCTTTGTCTGAGAAGAAATTGTTGGTAGAAGACAAAGAGAGGTCAGACTGCCACTACCTGAAAACTGCATAGTACTTCATCAGTTTCCCCTGGTTTTCCATACAAACTCTAAGAAGGTAATTTCTGCCAGCCTTATAACAGTAAATCATAATGAATGTAATTTTGTTAAAGTAAGCTTTTAAACTATTTTTTACATACTAGGGCTACTGATTTTTTACACTCTACTATTTCTTCTGAGAAGAAATTTCACATGGAAATGTCCCAGGAAGGAAGAATTTTACAAGGCATTTTACTTCTGATGTTTCTCTCCATCTTTTCTTTATATTTAGTTCATAGATCTTTCATATTCTTCTGTAGCATTGGCTGGTGCAAGGTTTCTAGTGAGAGAGGGGACATTCATATTTATTAAAAAATGGTTTCATAGTGTACCAAAAATCACAAATTGTTTGGAAATTAATGATACATGAAATCCTATGATCCAGAACGTGCAAGTGCAGAGAAATGAAAGGTTTTTTTTTGGGTTTTTTTTTTTTTTTAATAATGTACCAGCAACAGCCAGCTAAAAGGCAGAGAACAAAAACTGAAATGAAAAGAAAAAAAAATATAAATTTAATACCCTCAAAATTTCAGCAGCTATAAATTGGCAAGTGTCCCCTATGGTTTGGAAATGAAATATTCAGTTAATCCAATATGCTTTTCTCCTCAGGCCAACTGTATGAAAGAAAATCAGAGCACACAAGCCTGGTCATGCACTTACAGACATCTTTCTGCATGATCAGGATGTGAGTTTAGTAGTCATCCCTGCTYCTTCATGATCCACACCAGTGCTGATGTCAGTGTTCCCTGGTGATATGAACTGGCTCAGCCTTCTGAAAGCTGTCACACAAAGTGTACAAAGTATGAGTGCAATTGTGCAAAGTACGAAGACTGCTGGATTACTGTGGCACTTTGCCAGCAGCTGGCTTATTTGGAGGAAAATCTCATTGAGGAAGCCTGTAACAGCCCCAAATGGGATGAACATCTAGCAGTGAGGAACAAGGGCAACATGGGTATGGGCAGGTTCTTGATTCCACCGTCGGTTCCTTTTGTAACGTGCCATCCTAAATTTCAGTCCTATCTGTGTATTTTACCATGTTTAGCATATTTATTTTAGTTGTGACTTTTCAATAAACTCACTTTTTTTTTTTTTTTTTTAACTCAAGAAATAGAAGGTGGTATAGTTTGGCTTCATTTTTTCTCATGGAGCTTGTGTAGTAAAAGTGATTACCTGTGAGTTGGGAAAAAACCCAAACAAACATGGACACACATTGAGCTATCTAAAGGGTGTTTTTGAAAAAAACTTAAGAATTACAGTGTTTGTGCTACAAGTCACATGTTTTATTACTACACATTGACACAAATTATAGCAGAAACATGGTAATTCAGCCTTTTTATGAAGCTTCATCCACAGTACTGCAATGTGACCTTCAAAAAACTGTCTGGCTACTTCAAGTGTTTACAAGAGAGTAGGGAAGGTATGGTGTGCTGTTACATAGATGTTTTAAAATATGAATAGAAAGAAAGTATCTTTCAACTCTTTGCCCAATCAGTTTCTTTCCTTCTAAAATATATTGTGCTTTGAAGCCTAATCTGTTTGCAATGTGGTGTGAGAAATGTGTGACAACTAGTGTTCATGAGAAAATAGAAATAATATTTGAGTATCAGTTACTACTTAAAAAAAAATGCTTTCCTTGCACAATAAGGTGGGAATAACAGCACTTAGTTATGCAGGGTCAGAGTGAGTTTCAGTTCCAAAGAAGTAATAGATTCTTGAGAAAAAGCAATATGAATTCAGGTAAATAATGGTGGAAATGCTTTCTGTGGTGAAACAGCATATATTATCTTTGGAATAGAAGTATTTGGCCCTGAGCTCCCTACCTGCCAAGGAAGATAGTGTTAGTGATTGCATCTAATACTCTCAGTCTTTCATGTCTAGAGTCTTCTTATTGTAGTAGCACATCATGGCCCAGGAAGCCCTTTGATATGTTAGATACCTCCTCTCCACAACCAGTTGCAAGAGAGCTCAGGTAAAATCCCTCCTTTTCTCAGACTGGATTAGATGCGTTCCTGCTGTCCACCAAGGGTAACTCATACCCAAGGAAAACATGGTGTGTGGTGCCTTCATGCTGCTAGCAGCACTAGGGTTTCTTTCTACCATGAGCAGAAATTATAAGCAGAAATTTCCCTTCTTTCATCCAGATGTGCACATGGAAATAGAATGTCTGCTGTTTCAGCAGTGGCCAGCCTCACAGCCAGTTTCAGGCTTCTGTGTATCTTTTGCCTTCCTATTACTACAGTTAGAAGTGTAATCAGTTACTTGTTATGAGATAAAATCCTGCTAGCCATTCTTCTGTGTATAAATTCTAAACCTCTGGTCATGGAAGTAGAACTATGCAGCCACACTCAGTGTTTACTGAGAAGAAAAAACAAAAACTTTGCAGCCAAAAATTCATTTTGCCCTTCTCTTCCTTCTGATCTGAAGAGTAAAACTTGACATCTTTTTAGGAAGGCAATTCCTAGCCATACRCTGACACTGGTGGATCTTTATGTCATTGCTTGCCATCACTTGACACGAGCTATTTATCTACAGCTTAGACTTCAGACTGCTTGTGGGCTGCTGTGGTGGTCTGAAAATAAGTATCACCCAGAAGCACCACAGCATAGCCCATGTAGAGGCTGTTAAAAAAGTAATGTGCAGAACCACAGAACAGGACAGCTTGGAAAGCACATTGAAAAATCATCTGGACCAACCTTTTATAGGAAATGGAGCAGAGATGAGATTACCCAAGTGATCTAAAACATCCTAGGGCTCTTTGTCCCGGAGGAGATGTCCCTAAGAAGAATTTCCTGCAGTTTCTATGGATTCTTATCTGTCTCCTTATCATTTATTCTCTTGGCAGATGCTGGCTTATGTTCTTCCCTCATAGGAATTTTGACACTTTGCGTCTCAGGCTGTGGGTTTATCTCCAGTCAGTAGGTGACAAATTTTAAGTTCTTGTCTGTTGAGTCATCTGATGAATGTGTTTCACCAGAATTCAAACAAAACCTGCACAATACCTTGTCTGACCTAGAAGAGCAGGGGAAACACTCTGATTCCATGTCCCCTAAGGTGATTGCAGGCTCTACAGAGTCACTTCCTCGATGACACCTTTACTTCACCTTCTCATCCTTGACCATCAGACATGCTACCTCAAAGTGCAAAAGGACGAAGTTTTAGGTATGGAAAGGTCAAATGTGAAAAATAAAGTGATTTCATTTCAGCCTGGCACTAACGGAACATGAAATTAAAAACAATGCTTTACTTGATAAGGAAGAACGGATTTCATGTAGAGAGGCCCCAGTCCTCAACTATCAAATGTTCTATCTGAAACCACATCATTTAGAACAGGAAACCCAGAAAAATATGTTTCCTCCAGATCATGTTGATGTAATGGTGTATATAAGGTAATTAATATTCTGGATTTCAAACTGGCCTACTGGAATCCTCCGAGGCAAAATGATATGAGAAAGCAAACAAAACATTTCCTTTCGTTTCCAGAGAAAGATAAATAGGAATATCTAAGCAAGCACTGACAAGCTTTAAAGTCTGATATGAAATTCGATTTTATTATACCATCTAAACAGGATGCTAGAGTAATTGAGAGTTGTTGATTGTTCCACTAAATAAACCTCTGTTTAGAAACAAGAAAGTAAGTTAATGACCAGAAACTCTTTCAATCCAGGGCTAAAATGTGATGTATCAGACTAAGAAGTTCTAAGAAGTTTAAAAAGCCTAACCATTTTCTAGATATTAGAGGAAACAAAACAAATCATCTCTCAAGTGTTTATTGTTTGAGCCATTTACTTAGGAAACAACACTCAGATGCATAAAATCTGCACGAAAATAGTAGAACAGATCTCTGAGTGGTAGAGACCAATTATTTCAGTATTGCATCCAACTTTAGCTTAAAGACCAAACAGATGTGCTTGAAGTTTGTTACCCTTTCCCCTGTCCTTTCCCGATTTGGTTAAGTAGATGAAGAGAAAGAGCAAGAGAGAATGTGATGTCTCTGTCCTCTATCAATATGCAGTAGGCTGAAATCAATGGTTCTTGTGACAAATAGATTAAATTTGTTCTTTTGGTATATCTACCAACTTGTGCTAGAAGATACACAATCCTCATGGATTTTGAATCTCTTCTTTTAAGTGTGATATAAGTCAAAAAGTTTGTGTTCTACCAGCTTCAAGCTCTTGCCTTTTCTTTGACCGCCAAATTAGAGGGTGGTGCGGGATGTAAAAAAAATACACCGATCTCTACTGGATTTAATAAGCACAGTTTTAAAACTAATTTTATACACATTTATCACTCTATTTATTTTTTTTTATATGTGAGAGGAATTATGTATCCAACAAGAGATATGCAAACCCCTCAAAAGCTGCCAAAGAATACAAGTTATACAAGCGGGCATGTCACAGGCTGACTTAGTGACTCAAGTCTTGGCAGCAGCCCTATAAACAAAGCTACTGAATTGGTTTGAATCTGTCTAATCACTGAACCTTTTATGCAGCTCACTTTCAAAGATATGCTGTAAAGAATTGCTAGAGAGTGAAAATTTGACCAAAATGCTTGCATTACTAATGATTTGAAAAATTAGAGTAGGCATCAGAAATTCAATTACAATGGTTGCTGAAATTACAATTTCATTCTCTGAGTTTTAATCATATGTGAATAAATACTAAATATAAACCAAAGATTTGCAAATCAAAATGAATTTTCTTTCTTCAAAAGAATTTGCATTTCTGCTCTGGGAGTCAGCCAAACAGCAGTGCCAGAGATTCTGATCACCTGCAAAATATTTTGAATATCAGGTAAATATTGAGGATCCAGTAGTCATAGTTGCTTCACAGAAGATCAGAGGCCTGCTTGTATATTCTGAGTGCTTTAAATATACRAAAACTTCTGAAAAGGAAGGAAAAAAAAAAGTAAATTAAAAAATTAGAAACCAAGAATTGTGTTTCTGCAGGTCAGATCTTTCCTCAAAGTTGTAGTATTATAGAGATAGCCAAATTCCCAGACAGGGTAGTCATGCTGCTTATAATGAGTTATTTGCCGATTTATAGATGTGTGAAATATATTTATACTCCACAGTTCAATAGCAATGGGTGTTAAGCATTAACAGTTGTTAAGGATACCTTTGCTTCATCACAAACCCCCTTTGGAAAATCCCAATATTTAAAATTTATAATGATTACTATACTCTAATGCTACAGTCTTTATAGGAAGATTTGTGCTAATCTGCACCTGTGACTGTGAAGTCCCGTCTTTCTTTCCCTTTTTTAGTTTCTTCTGGAATGTTGTTTTTTTGACTTTCAGGACTGGACTCAATCACCTCTGCCTGGAGAGGAGCAAAAAGTATTTATGGTCAATTTGGTTAGACATTAACATTTCATTTAGAGATTGAGTGAGAACTCAGTTTATACAGTTTTCAGCGACTGTTATCAAATCTTCACAGTTTGTCACCTGCTGTGAAGCAACATTTACTTAGATTGTTCCCAAGTCCATGTAAATTAACAATTCCTCATTTTCTCCAGAATTGTTCAGCTCAGAAACTGTGACCCAATACATTTGGAGATTAACTTTAATTGTCTGGGATAGGCCAAAAAAGACTTTTAACTGAATGTTTCTTTGCATATCCAGAAATTAGGGAAACTGGAAACAAAGAGTTAACAACCTCTGACATCTGATGCAGCCCACTTTTTTTTTCCAGAAGGTGAAGAGCAATGGTGTGCAGGAGGAAGTTCTTGGAGAGAGGCAGAATATTCCAGCTTTTTCTTTGGGGGATTCTGGCATAGTTTTCACCTTCCCTGACTACAAGGACTGTCCAAAATTCTTAGTCTTCACAGGAAGATTTGGCAAAGAAGGAAAGTTCCATCACCAATTTGCAGTTGATGCAGGTAATGCCTCAGTACTATGTGCTATATCATWATTTTTTTTTCTTGCACAGTGACCTGAACACAGATTCAGTTGACTTGGAGGCTGGTTCAGGCTCCCTGAAGGTGATGACATCTTACTATTTCCCGGAAGCYTAGCGTGCAAATACTGCTTTGCATACAGATGTTTTTGCAACACGACAAATATTTCAGTGCTGAAGTTTCATTTAATTTGAAAAAATGAAAATGAAAAATGTTTTTTGTAAATGCAGCCTTCAAGGCCTTGAAATTTACAGAAATTAAACACATTTAATTTATTCATATGATTATGATTGCTTTTCAAGATGTTGTTAATTGTAGGTGCCAAAATCAATGTCTAATATGGTTTTAGTCCTTATGTCTGTTAAACAGACTCCACAGACCTTTGTTGGTGCCCTGTAATATTTTAATTTCTGCTACCAATGGATTTTCAGGGCCAAATGTTTTTAAAAAGCTCATTGGAAAGGAAGCTTGAATTTCATCCCAGTGTGTTGTGATTACTGAACCATTTTTTTTCCTTTAGCTGTTTAATTATTTTTACCAACAGTATGGTGCAATGATAAATTGAGGGGAAAATAGTGGCCAATAGGAAACTTACTATTCATATTAATATTTATACAGGCTCTTTGTTGTTCATAGGAATGAACCTTGCTCTTTCAGCCACAGAGTTTGCATCATGCATGTATCATAGAAAAATATCTGTACTGCAAGACACAGCTTTTATCTTCAATTCAGTTGAGTAGCACAAGCTTTGGACTTTATGGAAATGTAGTGTTCTATGATTGTGCTTTTTTCTTGTTTTGTTTTTTTTTAATTTTTAAAATTATTGACAGACATAATAGGGAATGACAAGGAATAATGAGGCCACTCAAATTATATATTTCATGACTTTTCAAGGAACATAGTCCCAGAGGTCGGCCTAGTGACCATATTTTTTATTTTGGCCAATGTAGCACAATTATTCTTTTAAGCAGAATTCACTTTTGTATTCAATGCACAGTTCTGTTCAATAAATGGAATGTCAATGTATGTTCTTTTATGCCTTTTTTGAGTTTTGGCATTGTTTCATTTTGTTTTCCCCTTCTGCAAATAAAAATGAATAATGCTAGCAGCTTAAACAGAAGAAGGAAAATCCATATAAAAAAATCATATGGATTTTCTAAGATAATTTAGGCCACAAGGATGGCCTAAATCGTCTCAAATATCTTTTCCAACCTAAGTGAGTCTATGATTCTAAAGACTCTGTCATGAAATATTTGGGAAGTATCCCATGTATTGCATCACAAACCTTTCAGTGACTATGATTATCTATGATAGTATATAAAACATAAGAAAATATAATAGATGAGACAATAGATTTGCCTCAGCAGGTGGTGTTTGAGGAAATTTGGCATTACATAATATGTCAAAGAGTATACATCAGCCAATATATGAGTGTTTAAATTAAAAAACAAATCTAATTTTGATGTATTTCAGGAACTGAGAAGAAAAATGAAACTGCAAATTCAGCCATGTAAAACACTCTCAATAAAATATAATTCATACAGACTTAAGCATATTTCACGATCTTAAGAGACCAGATTTGAGAGGTAAACATCATGACTAAGAAATAATGCTTCACCACTTTTATAAAAGTTGCTATTTCCATCAGCATGCATAGATGGTGAATATTGCTGTACAACAAAAGATAATTTAGACTGTATRTGGAGTCTGTGAGTGTGTAGTAGGTACATGTAAGTGAAGATATATGTGTGAATATATAGATATATTGAAAGAAATGCTAACTGCATTTTCTCTAGTCTTACATTAATATGTACCAAGCATAGTAACCCTCTTAAATCAAAACAACAGCAATAGTTTTGATAGCTAACTGTCTTGGTTTGAAAGACAGGTGTTTGCTAATGAAGGCTGGGACCCCCCCCTTGGAGTGGTGGATATGACCCCCCCCTTCCCTCCGAATTATTATAGCTTTGAAAAAAATCACAGGCTTTCAGGCAAGAATATGGGTAAAATGGAATAACAGTTTTTACTAATATGTATAACAAGGTGAAACAATAACAATAGTAACAACCAGCCCAATCCCAAACCCAGTGACAGCCTTACAGAGATACAGCCTCCCCTTTGGTGCAGTTACAGTCCCAGTTGGCAGGGGCGCTGTTGGCTCCCGGCCRGGCACAGCGGGTGCAGCGATTCTCCGGCAGCTGCAGGGGACGCGGTGGCGCAGGTCCCGGCTGGCTTAGATCTCCCGCGGTGCCAATGATTGACACAAAATGGCAGAGGTGGATGGAGAAAAGTTTCTCTGCAAAACTCACAGCGGAAACGCCGATCTCGGTGCTCCTCTGGACAGCAAGAAACCCAGGACAGCAAAGAGACGAGTAGATATCCCGCGGCTGCGAGACGGGATGGCGCAGAGCTCACCCGTGAAGCTGGAATCCCCGACAATGCACAGGAGAGAAAAACCACGGTGCAGCAAACAGGAACCCAAATGAGCAGGGGTACTGCTCTCCGCAGAAAAGAAGGCAGGCCAGCTTTCTCCCTAGCAGCCAGCAAGCAGACCTCCTCCTCTCAGCGAAGCAGTGAAAACAACTGCAAATCCCACCCCCCACCACACAAAAAACTCTCTCTGAGCGCTTGGCCCAACCGTTAGGGTGTGGCTTAGGTATCATTGTCGTTGTTAATCACCCAGCAATTAAAAGGATGACCCGGCAATTAGTGTATCCCAGCAACAAATGGGAAAGAAAAAATTCCCAAAGAAAGGGAACAAAAGGAGAAGAATTTTAACCCACAACACTAACTTCAGTGGTAGTTTTATCAGCTAATTTGTAAGACTGCTGAGTGCAGTATATTTAAACAGATTTACAAATGCAGAGGATAAAAGCTCCATAAAGAAACACTGTATCTGAAGTGAAATTGCCAGAAGGATTTTGTACAACAAAGTAGATTCATTTTTGTAAGAACCATTCCAGAGTAAGTACTAGATAATTCAGTATTCTCTGCCCATCTCTGGCCCTTTCTTGAGAACTGCGCTGTTTATGTGTGCATGACGTTAACTGCTTGTAGTGTTGATTGCTGAAATAATTCCTCAAGGTCAAATGCTGCCCAAGATGCTGAAGTGTTAGTCATTTAAATAGCTAGATAAGATAAAATATAACTATTTTTTCGGAAGAGTTTTACATTCCAGTATTCCAAAAATATCTTTATTTCCTCTTCTCTGGGTTTCGTTTGCAGCTATGGGAAAGTGCACTGAAAGTTGTCTTTGTGCTTTSTTTTCGGAAAGCAAGCAGAAGTGTGTTTATTCTCATGTCCTACAGTAAAGACTTCAAAGCTGTGTGACTGAGAGCCTGATTTCCTATTCTTCCTTCTTTCTTTTCTCAAGATGGTGGCTGCTGAGGAAAGGTTTATTTGCAAAGAAGAAGAAAAAAGCTGCTGAGATACCTTGAGCCATTTCTTTGATGTGTAGCATCATGTGAACTAAAGAACTTTCCTCACAGTTTCTCTGAAATCAGTGAATTAAGTGAAAATTATCTGGTGGCTGCTGAAGAAGCACAGCTGTGTTTTGGTGCAGTTGGAGTGCAGTTCACTTCGGAAATGCTTGTGTTTAAGGCAGTCCAATGTGAAGATGCAGAGGAGTTTGCAGGGTCAGAGTGACAAATCAGGGATTAGGTAGATCTTTGGCATTCTTCTAGCATGTCACTACTATAAATCTCTGCTTGATGAGGCTAAATCTAGAGCCTTCAACCATTCAGAATTCCTGGGCCAGATGTCAGACCTGTCACCAGATGATCATTCTGTCCTGTGTAGCCTCCCTTCTGTGTGAAAGGAGGAGGGGTAGGAACCCCCTGATGAAAGGGGAAGCTGGAAAATTGCAATTCTTGTAGCAAGAAATTAATTCCGCATCTGTAGTAGTAATAATCTCTGAAAAGTTTGCCCAGCAGATGCCAGCAGTGAATTAGCACAGAGCTTGTGAACAATAAAAGGACCTGAATATATAACTGTTTCAAATGCTTCTCTGTTAAATGATTGCTTGAAATAGTCAATTTTTTTTAAATTAAGATTAATTTTTAATGCAAAGATCTTTATTTCAGCCTCAGAATTCCTGAGAGAATACTGTGTTAGACTGTCTCTATACAAATCAGAAAACATTCAGATTTAAATTTGGGCCACAGTGCATAGTAATGGCCTTTCACTTAAACAGTGGGGCTAAGTTACTTATTTTAATTCTCGTTTAACCTCTTTGCACCTTATTTTTACCTGATCTGCTCTCTTCCTGTGATCTGTTCTCTTCCTGTTTACTGTCTCCAACAGAGTAGAAGCATAACTCTTCTTGTTTACTGTCCCTTTCTGTTTTAATTTTAAATTTGACCTGACATTAAGCTGTTCCTTTCTGTACTGGAGGGGGAAACAAAAAATCTAAGTCATATGGTATTATCCTTCAGTTTCATTGCACCATCTGGATTCCTGGAGCTGGAGCTGGAAACTGTCAATGTCTCTTGAAGCAAAGCAAATAGACTTAGCTAAAAGGGAAGTTCAACCTGGAGAATCATCCTGCAGAAAGTTTAGAGCAGTTCAACACTGGAGGAAGGAAATCATTATCTGTCAGAAGAGCTCCATCCTGCTCAAAAGCCATAGCATTAGATATCTAACGCAGTTCCTTTAAAGATTAGTCTCATATTCAAGATTTCTGTGGAAATCACATTTTGGTTTCATCAAAGTTTATTTTTGGTTTACTTTTGGCAAAGCTTATGTTACAAACCAGAGAAAACAGTCTAGTCTCCTTAATTTAAGGAAACTGTAAGAAGGATTTTTTTATTCCATGGTTCATCTCCTCTATCACAAAATTGATAAACATGTGATTTGATGGCACTCATAACACAAATTAATTCCAGGTCATTCTGAACTTAAGAATGCAATGAATTATCCACATAATTATGTAGATTATGTACCTCTGAAGTGCCTTTAATTAAGGCATTAAATAATACAAATAAACTAACATTGTCGTGCAAAAAAGTGTTTGAAATGGCTTATGATTTGGGCTTTTGTGTGAGACCATAAGCACTGAAAAAAATAAGTTCATTAATAATATTTATTCTTTACCCCAAAGAAAAATAATATTGGAAACTCTAAGAACCTACTGAAAAGCAAACTTGTGTCACACGGGGTTGATTATTCATTCCAAATAGTGATCATGATACGAGTCTAGAATATTGCCTGTTATTTTATGTTCTTGGCAATTAGTGTATCTCATTGAAAATATTTATTTTTCCTTTTGGCTGAGTTTCCCTACAAAACTGGAACAGTTCTCTTAAAAATTATGGCCTCTCAGGCAAAGTAAATTAAGTCTTGGAATTATGTCAAGACTTTCAACTGAAGATGAAGTTTCAAAACAGTCTTTGAGCAAAAAGTGAAACTCACTTTCTGCCTTCAACTCATGTTTCTACCTACTGCTTCTCTGGTGTTTCTCCCTGTAAATTAAACATATGCTCTTTTTCTTTCATACTGGAAGGTTTCCAAAGGTTGGGGGGAAGTCTCACAGGAAACCCTTCCAAAATATATGTAGGACTTGTTCTTCCTGTGCAGATAAAACCCTCAGATGTGTTTAAATTCAGACTATCTGAAACTGGAAAATTGTAATGTTTGGTTTGGGGCATTCTTTAATTAAAAGGTAGAAATTTGATGACTATATTTCTCATTAGGATTTGTGTCAAGGATTGTGCTTCACTTGTACGTATTTCTTTCAGTGACTTCCAGATGTGCTAATAATTTGAGATTTATCTTAGTTTAAGTGTTTATTTGATTCTGAGACTTTCTTATCAGATTATCAGATAGAAATCAGTGCTGTTTATGCCTTTCCTGAAGTTTTCTATGTGGCTTTGATTTGAAAACATCTATCTTTTGAGTTACAAAATTAATCCAGAAGAAAATACCGACACATACATATTATAATTCTTTCCCAAATATAGGCTTAGATTTTTCAAGTGTCCTGGAGTCTAACTGTATGTTTTATGAATCTAATATTATCTTGTATGACAGTTGATTTACCACATAAATGAAATCTTAGAATAATGTTAATTCATAGAATTAGAATTTTATACAAGCGTAATATCACAAGTAAATTGTGCAATTATTAAAGTGATTAGCTGTAATTACCTTTATATTTGTCTCTGGTTTTCTTCCTCCAGGGAGCATACATTGGACTCCTGGTCTTCTATTAGTAAAACTATTAAATTATATATGCTTTCCCTGGTCCCCTGAGAAAGTCAACCCACCCTGTTTAACGGTATTTCCTTTGGGATAACAAGAAGCAGAGATGAGCAAAAGCAGTCAAGACAGAAATGTATCATCAGCAAAATTCCTATCACTATTTGAAGTATGTTACTAAGAGAAGCTGATGAGTTACTGTCTTAGTGTGGTGGTGGTTACATTTTACATGTACTGTCCTTATTATTAAATCTTCTCTTGTTTCCAGACTAAGTTGAAATACTGCTTTACAAGGAGACCCACAGAGGTAGATGTTTATCAGTATTAGGACCTAATTAACACATGCTGATTTCATGTCTACATCCTATCTTTGACAATATTCTGCCATGTATTGGGAAATGTTCTGCTTTTGATGAGACAAACATATAAACTACTATTACCAAATCAGATAGTAGTATTTAATGCAGAGGGATATAGAGATGCTGTCAGGGATGCTAAAGCTGTGGCCAGTATCATGAGTGCCTTCAAAATAGTCCTTAAAAATAGTGTTAACATAACCAAAAATGATACATTGGTAGAATGCTGAGTAATTCAAAGTCGGTGTTTCTGTTTCTTTTCTTTTCCCCACACACTCCCTGACTGCCACAGATGGTAAGTACTACTGTTTCCACTCCTTCAGTTACAATGCTAAAWCAAAGATCAGTGAAATTAAAGTCAGTATTCCTAAGAAGGGCAAATACTATCTTCCCAGCCTTCCCAGGAGCTATTAAATCTTCTTATGCTATGAGCCTAATTAAATTATCATGCAAAATATTATTTTTATTAGTTATGTAACCCAGAAGTGTGAAGGTTTGTTGCATAAATATAGCTGGGGATTGATTTGGATTCAGAAGGTCCAGTAGTGCTCAGGAGGTAGGAAGCTCAATTTTTGTTTTCATTGCCGGTATATGGCATGCTACATCTGAGAGTATGTACTGTGAAACTTAAAGGGACATATATAAAACATGATTAAAAAAAAAGATAATTCAGGACTGAATTGAGATTTTAATCAATCAAGGCAAGAAATTAGATTTAAAGATTTAGAAAATAAGATTTAATGAGCAGGCAGACATTTCAATCAGTGCCAAAATATTCATCCTTGTATTTACAGAGTGAGAAAATTCACATACACATCTATATATATATCTATAAAACAAAAATATTTCTGAACTATTTTATAAATAGCTAAAATCCAAGAAGTTAAAAATCTGTACTTTCTTATTTGACATACAACATGTTCGCTTGCATATAAGGATGCGGAATGTGAATTTTGCTTCTTGTTCTATTTAATATTTCATAAGGAAAAAAAGAATTTTTAACCCCTTATGGCTCAATTTGTGGTCTAGATTCCTCAACTGAATTCCTGGTCTGAAGAATTCAAGATGTAAATAAGTAGKCATGACAATGAAAATAATTATAGCTAAGTCAGATCCACCAAAATATGCTTGGAGTATATAGACCAGAACTACCAGAATGAAAGTGGCCCCTATTACTAAATTATAATTAAAAAAAGGCTTCAGAGCAGCATGTTTATTCTACTAAATAAATACTGTTATTAGTGCTCATGGAATCAGAATAGGGTGGTAACATCTTCCCATACCAGATTTTCTCACTTATCTCTTTGTTATTAGGATGCAAATGTTTGAACACTGTCACTGATCTAGAAACAGTACCAACCGTTTTCCCCCCCAAATTACTCTTTTCAAAAAATTTTATATTCAAGAAAACCCAAAAGTAATTAGCCCAATGCAATTATTTATCTCTTTGATGATGTAAAAGGTGTTTGGCCATATTGCTGAAAATGAATTCCTTGGGATGCTGTGATCTTCATAACTTCTCCATTTAGAGTATCATCTTCAATTATTGTTATCAGTCCCTCAGCAATAATTGATGGGCTGAAAAAAATAAGTTATTTCAGAGTCATCATATAATAGAACATGTAAAAAGGACAAGTAAAGAAATTCAATGTAGATATCTATATATATGAATTTTGTTAAAACTGGCATTTAAGCAAATTTGTTTTAAGGAAAAGCAGAGGTGGTATAAGTGTTTCGGGAGAGATATTTAGGCWCCTCAATTAGGGCATACATCTAAAGTGGCTACTTTACTAATTATCATTTGTTTGCTCTAGTCTCTGATAAATGCCTGTGGACATCTGGCTCCCATTGGTCTTCCTATCAAACTTTGTCTGTCAGGGCAACAGACAGAAGTAATCCTTACACAATCCTCTGCAGCTCTTTGTTGTTGATTTATCCCATTTCTGTAGCAGAGCTGACATACAAATTAGCATAAGGATAATTTTATGTGCAGTTTGCTGTGTCCAATAGGTGTGAAACATGTTACATAAGGATAGTATGGGTGAAACAACACAGTCATACAATTTCATCTATGCAGAAGCAGCTTGGAAGCTAATTGCTAGAAACTAAGAGTGTTAAAAAATATCACTTTATACATGTCATATTCTCACAGTCTGTCCAAGCTGTCTGCTTTTGGCAGTACTTTGTTGGCAGTACTCTAATGGGCCAGGTAACTCTTTGATCTGATCCATGGTGGTTGCTACTGTCAGTTCTTGGTCTATTTTGATTCACTTGAAAATTTTGTGAAAATTCAGTGCAAATTGTATACCCTATATCTCAAAAGTTTGATTAAACAAATTCATGAGAGAACATCCAAGGCTATTAAAAACCAAAATCACTCTATTTAATTTCAGAATTTGATTTGGACTTTACTGGAAAATAGGAATGCAAAAAGGGTTATATCACTGTGCAGACTGTGCTCTTGAAGTAGCCTTAGCCATTTTTTCTTTGTAAACAGGATAACATATTTGATAGAATTTTATCTGAGGCAGCATCTCCCTTTTAATTTTGCTGAAAATTATATTGTGTGGTTTTTTCTTCACCAACAAAGGGCAAAAACCCACTGCATTTGACTTGACTTACTCCATCACACCATAGAACTGCATCATATTTTTGATCTCATCTTTGTATGAATAGTATTGTCCCATATTCTCTTCTTTATCTATTGACTGCAGAATTGGTGTGTTGACAAACCCTGGACAAATTGTGTTGAGTCTCACACCGTAGTTGTCCATATGAGCCGCCAGCTAGAAAAGAGAAAGGGTTAGGCATCAACATTTAAAGACAGTATTGAGAAAGTAAGTTTTCAAAGAATGAGGTTTACCAGCCTTGCTTAGTAAGGATATTTTGTTACGACTGATTATTTGCTTCAAAAACCAAGTTTGAAGCATGTTTTCTCTAGTAATCATACTATATTATTAGAAAAAAMCCCTGCATTTCTTTTGTTAGGAGAACAACTTTACAAGAAATCAAAGCTCTTATTTTCATGCAGCTGTTATTTTCTAATATTTTTTTGTTCCTAGTGCTCCTAGCATGTCCTCAATACTATCCTAGCGTAATGAAATAGCAAAAACAAGAAACAAATTCTCCCAAATGTATGTTTGCAATCTTATTGGATCTTATTTTATTAAAAGAAAACTCTGGAATAAATAAAATTTAGATTCTGTATTTACCTTCCTCACATCAACAGAAATAGGATCTGTTCTCTATCCCTACAACTTAATGCTAAACTTTTCTAGTTGCTCTGTTGTCCCTGCCAAGGTATGAATCTATCACTGAGCACCTTCACTGGAAAGTTTCTGCGACCTGTGGGGTTTTTTTTTTCAGGAAGTAGCTCAGGAACATGATGAAAATAAGAAGCACAGGCTGTTCTGGGCATTGTAGGACCCCTTCTTTGTGGTCCTACCAAAGTGTGTATGTGGCAAAGACTGACCAACATCCAGATGTGTGTTGAATGCTGGATGAACTTTCTTAGCAATAGACCAGAACTGAAGAACTGTACATGATCTATCCAAGATTAACCATAACTGWTAAACACGGCATTCTATTTACTTTAATAATATTTTACAGGACTCCTTTAAGCTATTTGTAAGTCACCTGGCATTTTAATGGTATGGTGGCCTGCACTTTTGTTCTGGGGAAGACACGAAACTGAAGTCCCAGATGTAAGGTAGCAGACCTGCCCAACATCAGGCTGTACTGCCTTTCCTGGTAAATACTGTAGTTCACTATGTTTATCATTGTTTTTTCCTCTGCACTCTCATGTTTCTTAAGGACAGAATTTCCTCTGTTTTACCTTTGTGCTTAGATGGTGATATTTATAATGAGAAAACAAAAATGGAGACCTAGGTGTCATGCTCTTGATGTGTTTAGCATGGTATATGGAACATTTATCCATACTATTCTCTCTACATTAATCTGAAAAATAAGTTATTTGTGTGGGGATGGGGGCATAAAATATGGATAGAGTGTTCCAAGTATAATTTCAGGTGATTTGTTCTAAACATCAGATTGGAAATCTTACATTAATAGACTATCTTTAAGATTAACCTTTAAAGAATAATCATAGTTTTCCCCTCCAAGTTATTTTATTACAGTGTTTGTGCAATTTAACTAGAAAGTTTCAGTGTCAGAGGTTGAGACTTACAATATGGTCATCCTACATGTCCTATCCTGAATGTGTCATTTTGCATTTTCAGAGTGTTAAGAGTCGGTAAGAACAAATGATGTGTTCAAGTTAAACATACGTTTGTACGTTTTAGTGCCTATTTATTGTAAAAAAAGTTACCAACCTAGTAATAAGGAAAGCAAAATGTTAAATGACTGGGATGGGATTCTGAAAAAGTGTTTTTAAAATTTGGGTTTGAATTTGGCTTTTGGACTCTTCCCACTGTCCTTAAATTACTTGCAACATCTTTTTTCTCTGCTACCCAAGCCTCAAATTGGTCATGAACACAAATCTTTGGATCCTTTTGTGAAAGGAAGGAACCTCCACTGCTTCAGATATTTTGTTTTCTTTCAGAAAATTAGTTCCAGTTGTTTGGCTATAGAGAAGGAACATGAAAAGCTTCAGAATGCTCCCAAAGAGCTGCTGATATTCTTTTGGAAAACGCATACTTACTGCTATGGACCGTGTGAATCCAATTACACCATGCTTTGTAGCACAGTACACAGGCTGGAAGGCAGCAGGCATGAGTCCTTCAAAATAAAAAGGTAGCTGAATAAAGATGTCGAATATTCCTAATTTATGATTACCTTAAATACATATATAATGTAAAAATTTGTGATAGATTTATAGAGATGCAACAAAATGGGTTAGTAAAAATTTATAAATTATATTTTGTAATCTGGGATAGACTCAGAAAAAAACCCCAGATGGATGGAAATATGCAGTCAAAAGGAGAGTAATAAAGAAGCGTAACTTTTAAAAGGAAAAGTTGTATCTATGAAGTATGAATTGAACGAGAGGACAGAATCTGGAGGAAAACACTCAAGAATGAGATTTTTGAGCCATCTTCTATAAATCAATAAAGTATTTAAAGTATACTGTGAGCAAAATATTTTATACAAGCTTTGATAGCTAATGTGAACTGGACATCTACACTCATTTATGGTGTGTTCAGGAAGGAAGAGTGGGAATAGGAGAAGCAGAATAAAACTTTTCTGCTAACACTGTAAACCTTTATGGTCAGAGTGGGAGAACACAAAATTGTTATTTATAGTAGAGAAAGAAGAGACAACAGAGGTTTTGGAAGAAAATGAAGATTTTTAATTCTAGTAAGATTGATTTGATGAAAAAGCTAGTCAAGAAGAAATGACAGACCATGATGGCATATTCATTTCAATTATGCCAACAATTTCTACTGTACAATGAAAGCTGAACTGGATCAAGTGGATGCTGTGGTTCCACCTGAAAATTAGACCCTTATGAATAGCAGCTTCAGCCTGTCCAAATGTTAGAAGATAAAATGTTTTCCTGAATGTGCCATTGTGAAGCTGCATAGTAATTTTGATGCCTTAATGTTTAATTTAATGAAGGGCATCCCAATTAATAACTACCATATGTTTTTTCATTTTTCATATTTCATATCTTAAAGTGATACATTCAAAAAGGGATGTGATTTATCTCAGTGGAGATGAAGAATTCTTTACCTAGCTCTAAGCATGGATTTGCCAGAAAAATTATGTATATCAGACTTTGGGCTCTTTGCTATGGAATCTATTTTGTCTGAAGGAAAAAACTTTCTAAGACAGCACAAAGCTCTAATTACCAACCCGAGAGCTTCAAGGTTTTATCTTGATTTAAATGCTGTCTCAGTGATCCTGTGAAAGCAGCACTGTTCAATAGTGGAAAATGAAGAACTTAACCTGTTGGCTGGTTGTTCTTTCTGATTTATGTTTATTTGCTTAGCTTGGATGAATGTGTTATGCTTCTGCTTAAAAACTCACTTTATGAAAATGGCTTTTGTATTTTCTCCTGTGTGTTGCGATCACAACACAGGCTTAATATTCCTCTGTTGATTTTTGATGACCACCATTCTTCAAATTATTGGAAACATCACAATATGAGTACATTAGAAATAATACAATACTATTTAAAAAAAAACAACCCTCAAGTACTTTTACATGCTTTAAATGAAGGAAGTCCTAATTAGGCTGCAGTTAACAGAAATAAAACAGACAACATCTGCTGGGAAACAATGAGAGGGAATTTAGAAGTTATTTTATTTTTATTTTTTTAACCACAGTAAGACAAATTACCTTTTACTTGAGAGGAAAGAGAAAAAAATCAAGAAATAAACAAAGGAAGGGCACAGCTCAGAATAATGAAGTGGAATAAGGTTCAAAGACTTTCTTAAATGCCAAAGATAGTAGGAATAACAAGGCAGGAAGAGAGGAGCAAATAGCTTTTTTTTTTTTTCAAAACCATTTCTTTCTTAATTGAAATTATAATTTTTTTCTGAAGTGGAGAACCGAAAAAAAAAAAAAATCAATTGACTCACTTTTGGACAAAGCATCTAAAACTAGTCTGAGCATCCTTCACATAAAACAGTCACAATCCTGTGTCACTTTTGTTCCTGAGTTCAGTTCTCAGAACCACAGTGTGGCTTTCCAGCTCTGAGCCACTTCCCTACCCTGGCTGGACTCTTGGTAAGGTGCATGTCCAGGGACTCTCCCAGCAAGTATTTTATGATGAACCACTGGGTGATACTGAGTTTGCTCTGCCTGCATATTTATTCAACCAGTGAGCAGAGATGAGTTCATAACATATTAGTTAGGGCATTCATTTGTTAGAAAATCTGGATTCTATTTGTTGCTTCCATTAATATTTAACTACCTTACACAAAGCGTAACGGCAGTGAAACGGACTGGAGAATATTATGCACAAAGTAATGGGGGGAAGAAGGGGAAGGTGTTCAAATGATTGGTGATGGGTCAGTGTACTTCTGGAAGGTGATAAATTTGGGTTTTAATCTCTTAAAGGGGGAAGCTATGGCCAGATTTTTCTCTCTCTGGATGTTGCTGCATGGTGAATTGCAAATGGTTTTGTGATGACTCAAGATGTCCTTTGGTTTGCCAAAACCCAGTTCGAGCAACAATAATCCTGTGCTCCACTGTAAACTGTTCTTTTTTATTTTTCTCAGTTCCTGGCAGGCTGACAGAGACAGATCTTTCCCTTGCTTATCCTCTAGACTGCTTGTTAGTGTATCAAGTTCACTCTACCATCGAAGACATGGTGTCAGGCATCTCACTACTACTCCCCTATTTGTCATGGTCAATAGTTTCAATATCCACATCTTGAGAAATTGGTATTACAGGTGAAGCATTCTATCAACAAATTTGAATTGTATCAGTAAGCTTTCCTGAAACCAGTATTTCCTTTCCTTCTACTGAAGAACTCTGATGAAAACAGAATTAAACATTTTTTCCCAGTTACACTTTCCCACTGAATACATGTTGCCCTCACAGGTTTAAGTRAGTACCCTTCTTTTAATAAAATTTATTATCCTTTTTAGTTTTAAGTTGGACTTTGGCCCTTTTGGTTTTCCTCCCTGCATACCCCCATGATATCCTTGTGGTCTTCCTGTGTACCAAAACAAAGGTGAAACAGAAATCCTAGCAAAAATACTAAGCTCTGCCATTTCTATGGTCTGAGTGCTTGAAGTTGAGTGCAATCAAATCCCCAATATGGCTGCATAGCAGAAAGGTATCCAGATTCACTACACATTGAACAGCCTCTCAAAAAAGTAGCATGATACTATGCTAATTCTAACATATTTTAAACCCTCTGTGAATATTTTGACTTTTTTTTTTGTCTGCTAGAATCCAGACATACACAAATTCAGTTTCACAGAACACCTTCTTAAAAATATCAAAGCCATCAAAACAAAAGTGTGTGTGCATATACTTGAATTCCTTTCACCCTTTAATTGCAAAAAGTGTACGGGTACCAGCCACCACAACGTACAAGGCAATGTTAAATTTAATAATTTAACAGTCTTTTGAGTTAAATTTAGTTTTTTATGCTTTCTCTGTTGCTTGTAACTATTCCATAAAGCATCATTAAAGGTACCATTTCTTCCCACAAAAGGAATTTTAGAACATTTWATTCCTTAAATTTAAATTAAGTTTATTCCAATGCAAAAACCTGCAGTCACTGGAATTATTTTTTATAGAGCCAAATTTGAAGTAAAACACATTGCTCATTAGGTCAGTTTGATATGAATGCACAAATCCAATAAAATTAATTTTTGTATCTTTGAGACATAATTGAGTGCTTGCTGCATGTGCTCACATATTTCTCTCCCTCTTTTACTTAGTTCCGGGAAGGGAAGTTCCAGGAAGTTCTGGAAAGGAAAGGAAAGGAAAGGAAAGGAAAGGAAAGGAAAGGAAAGGAAAGGAAAGGAAAGGAAAGGAAAGGAAAGGAAAGGAAAGGAAAGGAAANAAGGAAAGGAAAGGAAAGGAAAGGAAAGGAAAGGAAAGGAAAGGAAAGGAAAGGAAAGGAAAGGAAAGGAAAGGAAAGGAAAGGAAAGGAAAGGACTCCTTACTAGATAGACAGAGTGGATGCTCTGGCTTTAATCCACTTCATAGAAATAATTTAAACAGTGCTGTGGATATTTGGAAATGTAAAATGATAAGGTTTAATCTGTCACCAGTCCAAATCATTGACAAAATTCCTATGATGATGTACTGGTAGCTAATTAATGTGCAAAAGAAATATTATTGAATGCTACATAAGCACTAAATACAACCCTTCTTATTGCTCAGAAACACATGGGAAGATATGCTGTCTGTATCTTATAGGGAACTTGGACAGTGGGGATCCAAACCACTCAGAAGTTTAATGATCAACAGAAGCTTGCTCTAAGAAAACACGTGAAGGGGACGTTAAGCAAGCCAACGGAACCTTGCCTTTCATATATGAAATAATACATGCAGGACTTAGACCTTCAGACTGGAAAGAAGAATCAGAGTCACAAAACACAAACAGCAGTAAATAAATTAGTAAAGTATTAGTATATGTTAGCTTTTAAAGTGTGTCTTTCCTAATGACTTTGGAAACAATTGTTAAATACAAGCCATGTAAAACCAAACAAAAGAAACTTTATTTTGACAAATATCCACAATCATCACAGCACAATGTTAATATTAAAAAATTAAGTACATAAATGCAAACTTAAATAACTAAAACAAGCATTTCTAAGCTCTTAACAAACAGAACAGCCTAGCTTTTAGGTCTTAAAACCAAAATAATTTTATGTTCGTTTGAGACCCGTTAGAAAAGGAATCAAACTACATGCTGCCTCTTCCCTTTCTTAAGCTATKCAAGGGCATCAGTGTGTCTGTGAAAATGTTTAATCTTTTACTTCTGCTGATAAACCCTTGCACTTCAACAGCAGTTTCCCTAGGTTAATTTGGACCCAATACAATGCCAATTTCAGCCTACAGAGATAAATTCACTGGTGTCAGCATGCAGTGTATTAGGCTGTATGACAAATGCTGACTTAGAGGAACATGGAGACTTTTAGTAAAGAACCCCTCAGCCGTGTGGCATGGGCATGTAGTAAGTCAGATCCTCAAAACCCATATGTGTTGTCAATAGGAGGAATTGGACTTTTTATCTCAAAAGCTAAGAGAGAACTTAAAAATACTCAGAACATCCACACCTATTGGCAATCAGTACTATAGCCAGTGCTGTCTTAACTGTCTTACCTTTTCATTGTTAAAACACACAGGAAGATCCTGGAATTAAATTACTATAATTTGGTAATCTGCACAGATAAAAAAACCCTTCTGATAATCCAAGTGTAAGGTAGCATACGTATTATTTTTCACAGACAGTATGAAAGTAGAAGGAGAGAACAATCTCTCCAGACAAAAATGAGAGAATGTAAGTACCCATAAATTTTTGGAGGAAAGTTGTCATCTGACTTCATTCTCCATGTACAGTTTCCCCTTCATCTGTGCTTTTTTTGCCCAGTCACTGCAACATTGAGTAGATCTACAGGAAATGGTGAGGAATTCTGCCTCACAACTGGGCAGCATTACCCCCAACTGGCTTAGAATCTATAGAATTCTATTTTTATACCAATAAATTGAAATACAGTCATAGTATAGAAAAGCAATGAGCAAAGAAAGCACTTGCTTAAGCTTGGAAATACGAGTGTTAATTTTATGTCTCCTCAAATACAGGTTGATCACATGTGAAAGGACTTGGAACACAGAGTGGGTGCGTGACAATTCTTGTTAATAAAGTAGATGCAGCCTAGTTTTAGATATCTTTACATTTGTGCTCCTGTGCAGTTGAATGGAGAAATTTATGTCAGGCTCAAGATTTTAAATACAAGACAGATAAGTTAGGAAACGGATTGATTTTGTTTTTCTATTGAATTGTGTTTAAAAAAGCAAATGAAATTTGTGGTTATTTCACATTCCTTCTGTTGCCACGATGAAAACCAGGTCAAAATAGTTCTAAGCAGGGAAGGGCCACAGGAAAGAAGAAAAAGTAAGACTGATCAGCTTGATTCATTTGCTTTAGAAGAAAATCCAGCAGGAAGTCTTTAGGCATAAAATTTTCTCACCTGCCAAGGATGACATATTAATGATCACTCCTCCATCACCTCCATTTCCTTTTTTCATGTATTCTAGGGCAAGGTAGGTTCCTCTAATCACAGATGTCTGGTATAGAGAGGAGATGCTCAAGATGCTGAAGATCATTTGAAGCTTTACAAAATATTTTACTGATTTTTTGACATTATTAAAAATATCTATTGTGTTTCTACAAACTGAAATTTGCTTTTTATTGTGGTGCTTAGAATCTGTGATGCTCTACCAGTGATCTTATTCATATTTTGAAGATCATAAACACAGAGATGCTTCACAGTATTGCAACTAAATAACTTCAGAAGCGCAATTGCAACACATAGAAGTAATAGCAGTTTACTTATTTCTCTTAGTAAGATATAAATAATCAAACTAAAATATTGAAATACAAAATAAGAGCTGTAAAGGAAATTAAATGAAGAGTAAGTAAACCATTTATAGGTGAAACACATGCATTATCTAAAAATATAAGTGGCTGATGAACCAATCTTAATCCCATCATGTTTTTGAGACATGCTGTTCTATATTATAAAAAATGTACTGACCATGTCTGGAGATATCATTAACACTTAAAACTGCATTTGGATCAAATTATAAGAAATTCACAATTTTTAGGATTAAGTACCATGATATATTTCTAGTCTCAGGATATTAAAAATTTGTATTATTTTCTGACTAAAGTTACAGGAGTTTTACCACTCCTCTTAAGCAAAAGTTAGCCCATTAAGGCAAATAAAGACAAGATAAAAAAAATTCTAAAAGGTGTGAAGTGTTTTCATCACAATATTAGCTGCAGTTTTTATTTTTCGTTTTTTTTAAGGAAAGAGCTTTGAGGAAAAAGAAAATCTGAGACCCATATTATCTTGATTCCTTAAAAATCTATTTTTGAACCCTATTGCAGTCAGAAATTCTTCTGAGATTCCTCTCACTGAACTTCAGACTTTTAAACTGAGATGTCCAAAGATACACCAAGCCTCCTGGTTTACCAGCCTCCTGGGTGAACCATGAGAGAGAGTTTCTCCCAGAAAGTCACTTTACCTGAGAGTGAAACAAAGAGCAAGAGAAAGGCAGCAGACAAGGCTCTTGGTGGAAGATAACTTCAGAGAAATGTTACAATATCACTGCAGTAGTGATGAGTTTCATTTTTTTTTTTACCAATTATTTTAGATCTCCCTGTAATAATTTCACATTTCCATTACAATTTCTACTTTAAATGGTCAAATGTATTGAGACATACTTTTATAGGAATATTATTTCAGCTTTTAAATGAGAACTCCATTTGTATTTTATGACTGTTTTGTGCTATTTATTGGCCAAAAAAATGAAGATGTCCAAAATATGAAGTGCACATGACTATTTCACTATTTTTGACCAGAGAAGAGCTGCAGAATTGTGACTAATTGAGACAGAAATTTCCCATATATAAAAAACACAGCAAAAAATCTATATGTGCCTAAAACCTATTGGATAGTAACTAGAGGAACTAGAGAAAAAAAAAAAAAAAAACTTTTAAAATAGAATATTAAATATTTTCTGCCACTATCTAAATTCCCAGAGGAAAACTGGAATAATTTTGAGATGGGTATTACATTTCATTTTTATTAGCTGATATTTTTAGACACACATGTTATAAAATATAAAGTAATACTTCTAATTCAATTCCAGTCACCCTTCATGCTCGTTAGTTTTAATAGGAATCAGATTTGGAAGAGTGCATGTCCTGATTTATTAATATCACTTGTTCTTTTTTCAAGTAATATGAGGCTGCCCGTTGACAGAGATAAATCAACCTATTTACCAAGTTTGTTTTGGAATCTTGATAACAAATCAGCTTTTCTCATTTTCTCATTTTCAGCACTTAATGAGTTATTTTCACTAATAATGTATTTTCAGAATACCTATTTCCTGGAATTGTGTAAAATGCCACAAAATATGAACATTTCAAAATTCTGAAATAATAGTTTAAATTTTTCTTAAAGAAAAATTCCCACAGATTTTTTCTTTTTGATATCTTTCCTGGAACTTTTTCTTTAAGCTAACAAGTTTTTAAAAAATATTTTGATTACTTTAAAAAGGATGTTGTTGATTAAATGCTTTAACACAAACTTTTCAAAGGATTCTCTTCAGTGTCTTGACACATACCAAACTAAATATGATTTCTCTTGCATGTCCTGGAAAGCAGCAGAGCCCTTATAAAAGTTAATCTAGTACTGTTTAATGTTGATTGTCACATGTAAGTTTGATTCATTAAAATCAAGATTTTTAAGGCCCAGTAGTGTTGCTATAAGATTTACYTATTTTGAACATAAACTTACTGGCACCTCAACTGAAATTAGATTTAGAGTGGAGTGTGTTTTTTTAAGATATATATTTGTATGATAGGCTGTACAGAAGATATTTTAGTAAGAAARGGGTTAATTCTGTCCTTGGAGAGCAGGTGCAGGTCCTGTCATGCCCTGGAGCAGTGGCTCAGCCTGCTAAGCAGAAAAAGAGAATTCCACTTAGGATGATTAGAGAAAATGAATCAGTTGAAGCAGGAAGTAGCTTGGGGCTCCTTGAAGGCTTTTCTATTCCTTCTAATGCACAGAGATAATAGAGCTAGGTGAATCCTTGGCCAAACCACAATTATTAACCAAGAAAAAAGTGGGCAGCTTGGCTGTCCTATGGAAATTAGTGTATTGTTCTTTTTCTCTTTATGGAATCCATTAACTCAGTATTTCTTCATGTGGCTGGAGAAATTCTCCTTTACATAAAGGTATTGTGAGAGGTGGTCTTCAAAATAAATGCAGACTTCCATTTGGATATTTCCCCTTACACCTGCTATAGCCCCTTACACCTGTGCTATAGCACATTCCTTACAGGTAATCCTTACCTGTAATCCTGCCAAAAACCTCATATAAGTGCGGCTGATCTTGAGTGAAATGGCTATTTATGATATTTAGGCTGATAAAATAAAGAATTATTTTGCGGGTAAACTCTGAGCCACATAGCCAGAGTGAAAGGAACCTATCTGTCTGCACAGTCAGGAGGTGGCATTTTTCGTCTGAAGTATTGTGTGATGGATTTCCCACCTTTTGCAAGAATCCACCTCTCTCCAATCCTCTCAAAAATAATGTGTTTTCTGCACCCAGTTTTTTGGTTTTGGGTTATGATGAAAAATCTCTGTAATCTCCTTTCAATTAAATGAAAGAAACTGTAGGTCTTTTCAGATTGTGCAGTCCCTCAATTGTACTTTTAAGACTAATAGTTTAATCTCATGATCTTAACCAACAATAACTCATAGATTATTTATGAAATAAAAATTATGAAAAGAAAGGGAAAATTAAATTTGAAATTACCTAATTAAAAAAATGTCTAAGTTTAAGATGAAAATATGCTGGGAGACTTTGTACAAGGAAGCATTTTACAGCTGTATTTTTTACAGTTCCTTTGTTTACAACTCCATTTTAGCTGAATGGATGTTGCTTGTAAACGTGTAAAGACGTAACTAAATGTAAGTAAATAAAAAATTGGGACAGCTTTCTCTTACCTGTTGGGTTTTATTTTTTTTTTTTTTTTTTTTTTTTTTTTTTTTTTTTTTTTGTCCTTGTTATGGAAAACTAGTTCAATAAAGTAAAAAAATAATCAAAATCGCTCTCCTAGCTGTTGAAAAACATTTGGTCTTGGGCCATCAAGGTGCACTGGAGGTCTGAGTGTGCTCTCAAGAGAGGCAATTTCACTCTTCAATTGCCAGTACAAAATTTAGGATTCTTTCAAATAAAGTTATGGTGGTGAGTGTGGGAATATCTCTTAGCATTAGTTTACATAAATTATAGATTTAAATTAGAGGAGATCAGACATGCTGAAGTATCATACAGTAATAAACCCAAAATTATATCTGACAGTATGGTAAAGATTGCAGAATAATTGTGTAAATACTAAAAACTTTTGCAGTTGCTTTTGAGAACAGCATATCAGTAATCAGTAACTTCTTTAATTATTTCTGAAGTGGCAATTTAGTTTCCAGTGTCAAAATCAGAAATAAAACTTACAAAATCTTTGATTCTTCACCTTTTTATGTGTTCTTTGGCTGTATAGCTTTAATTCTATTATTCTAAAAGAAATCATATCTTGAAATTCTAATTATACTCGGAGTCTTCAGTAGAGCACTAATTATTTTTTTCTGACTTTGGGAACCAACGTCAGCCAATGTGTAATATGTTCTTGTATTCCAACATTATTCCTATCAGTTTTTATACTTTGTGTTTCATTCTAGATATAGCTATTAAAAAATAAGTTATTCTTTCGTGATGGTGGCCTGGACACTATTAATCATCATCCCTTTCAAGTGGAAGTTGCTTTGAAAGTAACTTAATATAGAGCACTTTTTCCTAATGTTTCAGGGTAGGTGTTCCAACTGACATAGTTTCTAACACTCATTTAATAAGGTTTCCCTTGCTACCGCTTTTCCTGCTGAGAAAATACGTCAGCATTTTGAAGATGAGCATTGTATTGCTACCAAGGTGACAGGGTAACATGAATTCCTTTGAGAAAACAAAATGGTAATCTGTCCTAACATTTTATGTAGGTTCCTCAGCTAACATAGTTCAGTGCTAGGGTTACTGAATAAAAATGAAAGAGCCACGGACTTGTGGTTTCATAAAGCAGGTTAGCACAGAGCTGGAATTTGACCCAAGATCATTTGCCTTTCATCCAGTGATGTTGTAAAATGATAGCTATCTCTAAGGAAACATTTAAAAGTACTTTGTGAACCATGTAAGACAAACTTCAAAAGTCTGAAACGAGGTACTGCTGGTGATACCCATAGAAAGTTTTAGCATTTTACTATTGGACAGGAAGGTGGGACTAATTTTTTTAAAGTGGATTTTCTAGGACATAGACAAGCTGGAGCAAGCCTGCAAGTCCCTTGGCATTCCTATGTACATGTTAGTTTGATTGCTAYATGGACTGATATTGCAGCCTCTTGAGTGTGAATTTCCAGCTCAAACCCTGGAAAACAAGAAGTCTAGAGAGGAAGAGGCAAAAAGGAGAAAGGAATATGTAGTAGGATTTGATAATTTGCTACAAGTCAAGAGCATTTTTACAAGGTGGGAATGAAATGCTATGTCTCAGATTTTTAT